CCTCGACGTTCTCATAGCCACATTTCCATAGTGCCAGAGTGCCACAGTGCCCCATTGGCTCATTGCATAATCAACAGTGCCAATTTATAAAAAGTAATGAATAAAATAGGACAGTATCAGTTGGGCCAGGTGCCATGCCTCATTTGCCTAACAAAAGTTTTGCAAACTTCCTTCGAACATCGACGACGAAAAAATAGGCAAAATGTCGCCAAATCCTGCGCTGTTAATAAATTTCGCCTAAAAAGCTATGAGCTCGTAATGTGCAAACAAAAAGGAAAAAAAATAGTAAAAATAAAGGAAAAAAGTAACAAGAAATAAATAAATTGACATAATTTAAAATGAGTTTTAATTGGGTCACAGTGGGTAGTGTGAGTAATGGGCTTGATTGGTGGGTGTGCCAAGAGCCCTGTGCCTTGCGCCTTTTATCCTGCGAACTGTGCTCCATGCTCCATGCTCTATGCCTAGACTAAAATGCCATTTTTCGATTTTACTCTGCTGCTTTGCAATTTGGAAATCATTATTTGCACTTTCAGCCATGAAAGACTGCAGAATCAATGCGAAGCACAACTTTCAATGCATTTGCAAATCGTGCCTGTTGCCAAAAACGATTCGAATAATTTTCCATTCGAAAGAATGTTGTCGAAAGTTTACATTTGGGAATCAAGTTTTTATCCAATAAAAAAAAGAAATTGTAAGCCTATTTGATGGAGTCTCAGCCTTTTAAGGTTTTAAGGTAAAACGTACTTTTAGGTTCTTTAAATTTTAAAAGCTCTTATCTGCGACTAATGTGATTTTGAGTAATGTAAATTGATACTAATGGCTTCAAAAATTATTTCTAATATAATATTATAAATAAAATTATATAGTTTTTACAATTTTATACAAATTTTATTTGTTTTCTTCATTGCAGTTGGCTATTTAGTCCGTTCTTGTGCGATTTATGGAACAGTTTGGATGTTTACTTCTCAACAGCGAGCATATTGCACCTGTGCTGCATATCAGTAGATAGGTAATTTGCAAATTTTAATAAAAAAAAATTTGTTTTAATGTATTAAAATAAATATATATATATATATATATGTCTTGAACCAATATTATTATGATAGCTGGTCTGGTTATTTTATTATGATGTTTTAAAAATATTTATCTATTGAATCTCTACATATTGTTACTAAAAGATCTATTGCGACCTATTGCCCCTTAGTCGAATTAGAGTGTTTCTGCAAGTCGGATTTCTTTAATAAAAGATAGTAAGCGTTTTAGGTTGTAAGTCCCTAAAAGCATTTTAAATTGTGATAGTCTTGGTAGCCTTTTCCAATAAGGTCTCTTTCTTTTGAAACTCTACTTACTTCACCAATATTGCGTTAATAATTTTTCTATCCTATAATAATTTTGTATATTGAATGAAAAGAAAGTTCTGAAGAATATTTTATTATAAAGATTTATTGTGGTAGCTTGCAGGTTATTTAACTATGATGTTTTAAAAATATTTATCTATTGAAATTCTCTATAATCTATCTATACCAATAAACTTCATATTAGTCATGAATTCCTTTGTCTGTTTTATATCATTCTATATGTCATTAAGACTAACAAATCCATCCCCAACAGTTTTACATTAATGGCTTAAATTCACATACTTTTAGATTTTAATGTATATAGCTTGCAAAGAAAGTGTTGCAAATGATAAAAATTATAATACGGGGTTAATGGATAACCTTGTCTCTTTCAACACTTAAATACAGTACTGAGTAAGATTTCGGTCAAATTCTCATTCCAATATATTACTTGTATATAGCAATAAGCAAGTAATTGTACTTCTTACAAATATTACACGTCATGACAATGAAGTGTGGAAAACAATACTACTTAATTATATTCCACAGATCATTATATACTACTATACTATATTTTTCAAGCAATTTTGGATCACTCACCGCCACTTGTTTGGGAATAGCTCGGTTATAATTTGACAAACGTTAGTTTTGTTTAGATTTTTTAATACATTGAAAAAAATATAGTAGACCCAATATATATAACAATATATGACAATTCTCATCCAATTATCCAATCCAATCAAACACTTGACATAACCTCAAACTTGTTTACAGTCAATATAGACTTTGAAGTCGTTTATGGAGAGTACTTTGAACATAACATTTGCATTAGTTATTCTCATATTTTATATATTTTTCATTCTCCCTAAGGATTCGCTTTAAAAATGGTTCAATTTTGTTGGATTTTAGTACAGGCAATTCGGTCAATCAAATTGTCTTTACGCATTCAACTCCTTATGATGGTGCAGACTGTGATGTGGTTGATGTATAGTGCACTCACTACCTCCTAACAGCTTGTATCTCGAATTAGCTTTGAAAGGGCTAATTAATCTATGTTAAAAAAAACACATAAAGTTTTTAAATTAGTCGATAGTTCGAAAGCCACCTTCAGGATATTGAAAGCAATATCCAACGTTTTTTAATATACTTTTCAACTAAAATTTTATGAATTGAAAATTAATTAATTTTTATAAAGTTTATATTTTTTTTGCTTACTGAAGACTATTGACTATAGTCGAAAAATTGATGGCAATTATATATATTTCTTTAAAACTTATTTAAAAAGTTTGTATGTTATTTATCATTGATCAACTAGTTCATTTATAAAATCTATAAATAAAATTTGGTCAATAAAACAATAAATTATCTAATAATACCATATATTATATTAATTGATATAATTTATATATATAATAATTTGTAATTTATACATTAATATGCAAATGAGACTTAAACTAATATATATAATTATTTTATTTTATTTCATTTTAACTCAAGACATCACCTTATCATGCATCTTGAAAAAAATTACAATCCAAATTAATTTCATACAAACTTCACACTCATTCATTCATCAGAATGAAAGAATTTACATTCTCACATTGAGAAATTTTCCATTTAATCAGATTGCAGTACATCTGTACCATTTGCGCTTTTCAATGATTTTCATCAACTTTGCAAACTTATCTCTGTTAGAATTCAAACACATTCTACTTCACTTTTGCAGATACTATGCCATTGTAAAGCCGCTCAAGTATCCGATTAGCATGACAAAGCGCGTCGTTGGTATCATGATACTAAACACATGGATATCACCAGCACTGCTGTCCTTTCTGCCCATATTTATTGGTTGGTATACGACCGAGGATCACAAGCGATTCGTCGAGGCGCATAAAGACCGCTGCGAGTTCATTGTGAATAAGCCATACTGCATCGTTTCCAGTTCGATTTCGTTCTGGATACCTTGCACCATTATGATATTCACGTACTTGGCCATATTCCATGAAGCGAATCGACAAGAGAAACAACTGATGATGCGTCAAGGCAACGCTATGCTGATGCATAGGCAATCAGTGGGTGTGAGCGCAGGCGGTAAGCTAAATAATAAAATGAATCCAAATAGGAATAAAAATAGAAATGACAAGAAATGCCAACATGTGATAAAAATTAAGAAAGTTTTTTGCTAAAACAGCCTGTACAGTAAATAGAGAAAAAACACAATGGATTTGCTAAATGCGCATTGAAAGGCAGGTGCAAAAAGTTAAATGACGCTTAACAAAAAAGTGCCATTGTTTTGTTTCTGGCCATGTGTGCCAGGTACATGGAACGCATATGTTTTACTAAAGTTGGTTAATGTGCAAACTTTGGCATGTTAAGCATTTCCATACACGCACTTCCAAGCCAAAAGCAATGCAATTTGTATTTTGTGTATCCGTCGAAAAGCATTAAAGTTCAAACATTCAACGGCATACGTGGCGTATGAGTGATTTTTTGAGCTCACCTTTAGAAGAATCATGTCTGTCATACCAAACTTAACATATGCGATGTTAAGCAAAGAAGTTTTTTATTGTAGATAAAATGAATGGTATAAAAAACATTTCTTTAAGTGTTTTATTGTCAAAAAAAAACAAGAAACCAAAAATTAATTGAACTCTTTTTGCATTCTTGCACCTGCCTTCGACGGCTGTTCATTTAAGAACTCTCACTGTTTGGTTCCTTATTAATTAAGACAATGGCTGAACCATTGTACCAATGTACTAAATAACTTTTTTATGCTAATTTTCTGCAGGCGAAGCGTTAAGCGGTTCCGGTTCATCAAAAACTTTAACTTTGCATGAAGTCGAGCAGGATCATACGCCCACTAAGGATAAACATTTAATCAAAATGAAACGAGAACACAAGGCTGCAAGAACTTTAGGTATAATAATGGGCACTTTTATAGTTTGTTGGCTGCCATTCTTTCTGTGGTAAGTTTGTGGATTTAAAACAATTTTCTATACCAACAAAAAAATATATAAAAAATCACCTTAAGGTATGTTATGTGTAGCAATCAGTTTTTCAGTTTTTACTCTCTTGCGGCTGTCGACCGAAATATATTGTATTACAGAAATCTCTACAACAAAAGCATTTCCACAGAAATGCATTTTAAAATATTTTTTAATATTAAAATTTGCCATAGCTGCAATTTAATACTTTATTTTGCACAATTTAGCTGCCTGAAGTTAGGTAATTTTATGCACTTGATGGGGTACTTAGCCAGTAGCAGTTGTTTTTTGTGTAACTCAAAGCGTTTGAAAACTGAGCTCCACTATTTTGAGATACTTTTAATTAAAAAATAATTATTTTTTGTTTCAATTAAGCTACCATAAACTAAAGTTATTTTATGATCCTTGTTAAAATATTTGTATATGGTATTTAACTGAAAGTTGATGTGGCAAACCATAGAGGTGTCATCAAAAGCTGTTGATATCAAATGAAAAGCTTAAACTTTAGTTTAAGCTGTAAGGAATTATAATGAAAGGATTAATTTACTTAGTTTATAATACATTAGTAGTATTCAATTTCAAAAAAACTTTTAACAAACTTCCAAAAACTTTTTCACATATTTCTGACCTTTAAATGTTAACCAATATTTAAGTTTATACAAAGTATGCCAACTTACGAAACTAAAGGTTAACTGAATTATTTTAAAATAATTTTTAAAATTCTGTGAAAGTACATAGATATTTAAAATAAACATTAAGGAAATTAATTTTATATAAGTAACATTTATTCTTTTGCCTTAAAACTTTTATTACTTCGCTAAAACAGTAGAAGAAACTTTGAAGGACTTACGAAATGTTTCCACATATCCATGAGCTTCGATATTTCTAAAATATTCTAAACAATGATTCTAATAACAGTTATTCTTCGCACAGATAAGAATTATATATATATATAGAACTATATATATCATAATTAAAATACTGCAATAGTTTTTTATGTCAGATTTATGCCGTATATTATGATTGTATCAATATATACATAAATATTAAAGTAATACTTACTAACCTACTTAGTTGACCATTATAGACGTGAACTGTCATTAGCAGCGTCCGGTAGCCGCCGCCAGTCAGCCTGGTTACTCGCTCGCTGTCGATAGTACCGAGTGCCTTTATATTATTAATCATTTGCCTGTAATCATCCTGCCATGATGAAACGTTGGCGATTTTATAGCAAAATCGAGTTTTGGCTCGATTGGTTGAAGCACCATCAGTCATTAAATTGTGGTAAAAAAGACATTGCTTCGCGACAAGTGCAAAACTCAAACTAAAAGTCCAGGGAATAGGACTCGCTATACACATTATTAGTTCATTAGTCAGCAGTTACTCAGTTTAGACCAGTAGTCCTATCCAGTAGTCCCACGTGGAGCCTGTACGCAGGATTGAAAACGACAATAATTGTGCTGGCATTTTCCAAATTGAATCAGACAGTATTCTGTTAGAATTAAGTATTCGTTTTTAGGGGCACACGGTTCTTCCATTTGCTTAAATAGTTTCAGTAAATATTATTACCACCACTACCATTTCTAAAGGTACACTATTAAGTCTATCTTACTGACTCCTAAAGTAGATAAAAGAATTACTGTTTAGATAACAGATTCAACTTTGCATTACTTACTAAAATAAAACTAATTTTATATATACACGATGAGTGCCTTATTGATGCAAAGGGGTCTGATAGTCAGATAAGGCCAGGTCTGGAAAGTACGGCCGGTATGGAAGGATGTCGCATGTGTATTTTTCATGTTTTACTGTTTTACTGTCATGTGCCGCGCATTGAAGTGTGACAAAATCATTTTGCCATATGTTTTGGTCATCTTTCGATCTACACGTTTTTAGCGGGCTTTAAAAGTTTTAATGCACTATACCGTTCTGATCTCATCAGACACAAAGCATGGACTTTTTCGGTAGCAATTCAACCTTGGTGTTAAGAGATCCACCTCATCAGGTTAAAATCACGATTTTTTCGTGATATC